AGGTCATGCATTTGAATCCAAAGTGACTTCTTTTCCCACAACTCCGACCCAAACAGGCTCTTTTATATATATGAAAATGCAAACTGACACCATTTGCATTGTGGTGAGAATTAGATTAGTTGTTGCATCAGCCACACACAATCATCCAGTAGACTAAAAACGAAACACAGGTGGCCATAAACCCATAAATCCACTTCTCCTGCCCACACAGCTTAAAGGATTTACCCGAAGAGCAGCAATAACCCGCCACATAAGCGACGAAAATAGGTTTGAGCCACGTATGTCATACTTAGCCTACTCCTATCAGCACCACTGTGATGAAGATGAGCCACGTCAAACCACACAGTGTACCAGCACTACCTGTGCTCCCAGCCAGCATGTCCTGAGAGGGATGCCCACAGCCGAGTGCTCATTGTTTCTTACCTTTTTCGAAGCCCCGGGGTCTCAGGTCCAGGCTCTGGATTGAGTGTCCTTTACTTGATGCCCCTCTGCTTCCTTATTGTTTACAGACGAAGCCTATTCTCCCTCCTCTCGGGCTCTGGAGCATCCTAAAGTGGAATCAGCGCCGCCTCATCTTTCTACTCGGCCTGCACCACAAACGTTACAAATCGCTCGAACATCCATTCAGTCCTGTCCCATCGTTTAAATCAGAGCACAGCCTCTCCTCCCGACTCGTTCAGCCATTGCGCATCATCTCATCCGCCGCGGCTCGGCATCGTGCGCCGCCGCATCTTACCGCAGTAGCCTCCGGTGTGCACAGCGAGCAGGATGACGAAGAGCTAATTTGACTTACAGCCCACTCACTGATAGGAGGCGTGATTCGTGCCACACAGAGCAGGGAGAGGTGAGGCGAGCGGAAGTGTATGGAGGGTTCGTGATGCCACACTTAGGGAGAAAGAACACACTGGTCTAAAATACAGAATCTATTTGTTTGCTACTGGGAGCTTCAGACCTAGAGCTAGAATTTAACACAAATTTATCATATGTGCGTTGATTTCTGACATTTTCAGAGGTGAATATAACATGTAATAAAAACACAGTGTCTGGACTTTTAACCATTCCCCATTAAAATAGTTTTAATGTGTTCATTCTGAAAAAACAACCAAACAAAATGGGACATTTGAGACGAAATGTGTTTTTTAAGTACAGGTGAAAGAATCCCAGTGGCAAAATTATTATTGACTGGTGAGTTAATTAAAATAACTATTAGAAAAAGTAACAAATCACAGAAAAATATGGCTACTTTTGCTTTTTCTGGGCACACTCCCAGTTTCTCTGATGTATTCCTGAGATATGACAAGCAGCTTTCTCTGAAAATAAATAAATAAAATCAATAAAATTAGTTGATTTTTTTTCAGTGTGCAGCAGAAAAATATACACAAGAGAAACAGTTACGGAAAGTGAAAATGTCACCCACAGGTCACCTATGAAAGTATTTGTGTTCTCTCCATATTTCTATAAGCATTTGAAATAAAGGAGTAAATATTCTGAAATTTTAGAGGTCATTTTTTATATTACTTGTTAGCTTAATTTGCCAAAATTACCAGTAGACTAGCCACAGGTGTCTGTGTTTACATAAGTCACTTGGGCTACAGTGCTACTGTTTATGTAATGGTTGAGTTTCATTGCATTAATAATTGTTTATTTTTCTACTCACTGTATTATCTTCATTATCTATATTAGGACAGTGAGTTAGTCACCTATCAGAGAGCCAGTACCTGTGCTTGTTGTAGTAAAAGTGCAGACTAGATGCTACTTTCACCCATAGTTTATGATTTTACCGTTTTTTTGTGTGTGTGTGTGTTTGTGACAGCATATTGGATATTAAGGTACAGTGTGGAGTATGTTTAAATTTTTATGACACCATCTAAGAGGTGTTGATTTTAGTTTCAGTGATTACAATTCTAGTAATTTATGTTTCCATTGCTTAGCATTAGCATTTACCTTGCTAACCCCTTGCTAACGGAACTTGCAAGGATTCATCCAAATATGGTTAATTCCGGCTCCAAACAAATACAACAACAACAAAAACACCCTGGTATCAGCCAAAAGAAACTTTATTTTAAAAGGGATGAAATTATGAGATTTTAAAAATGCTGAAATTGTTCAGTGAACTGAAAACAGTAAGTTTGTAGCTGGTGATGCTGCACTCTCCCCTGTCTCTGCTTCATGGCATTGTTTACTCCTCATACAGCATTAGTGTAGCCTCACAT